CGTGGTCCATTACAACTAGGAGCCACCAACTCTGACCATCTAGCTGCATGGGTCCTACGTGATCCAGGCTTACTGTGTCCATCGCGCTCGGATTCTCCAGACTCCCCTTGGGTACGTTGTGCGTCAGCCGAGCTCTCGTTCGAGTCCGAGCACATATCAGGCACTCTCTTACCACTTTCGTAACGTCCTCTGCAAGTCCGGGCCAGTAGAACATGCTGACTACTCTCTTCCGCGTCTTGAGTACTCCCGCGTGCCCACTGGTGCCATAGTGGAAGTTCAGAACCACTTTCGCTCTCAGTCGCTCCGGGACGTACACCTTGCCAGTCATGGCCTGCCGCCACCACTTGCCTATCCTTCTTCACTCCAGGCGTCTCCAGCTGCCGGTACTCTCTCGTAAAGTCCTCTTCCGACACCTGGTGTCCCCAGCAGTTGGCCCACGTGGCCTATCACTCTACCGCCCAAAGCCATTGTCTCGATCTCTGCGTCCCACTCTTCGTCTTCCGCTGCGTACCGCGACAACGAGTCCGCCATGTTATTCCCGGCTTCGGCGGGCGGAGACGTAGCAACGGAAAGCCGACCTTGCTACCAGTCAGCGAATCACACGTCCTTCGCCCATTACACAAGTCCTCCCCTGTGCCATACCGCTCGGGATAATCGTACCGGCCCCGCAATTGTTATCAGAAGTAAAAATGTTGCCGTCAGAAAGGCCGCCGACCAATGTTAGCAACAGGCTTCCAGACGTCAGCCTCTTCCTGGAGAAGAAGTCTTATTTCTTTTTTCACCTTCGCTTCAATAATAGCTCTCCGCCATTTTTTGGGGGGTTGTATCTCCCCCCTTAGCAACAGCATCCACAACTCGTCCTCATCCTTGTCCTCCACGACCACCACACCCTCCTCCAACAAATGGCTCTCGACCGGTTCCTCCGTGCGGTTCTTCAGCCATTGCACAGCACTAGCCCGAATATCTTCGGTCCGATTCGAACCCACGCTTGGCTGGTTCAGTCCCGAAGCGTCAACCACTCCGAAAGTCTCTACCCATCTCATAACCCGTTCCCGTCTCGTATCCTCTGCCCGTCTCAAAGCCTGGCTTACTCTCCAAGCCCGATGCATTCTCAAAGCCAGTTCAGGTGTTGAAGCAATCTCCATGCCACTGGGTACCGCCGCAGAAAACTGGTCCTGCGTCTCCTGTATTATCGGGTTCAGTTCCGTGCTGTCACCCGCAACCTGGAGGCCACTCGAAACCGGGAGGTCACACGAGGCCGACCGCCGGCCCACGCCCGACGAGGTGACCCGGCACTCTCCCTGCTGGTGCACTCTTATGAACTTGAATCTGTAGACACCGTGCAGTCGAGTGACTTGACACAGACGGCCACCCAGAGTGTTTCGAACCCGGCAACCCCACCCATTCAGCACCTCTCTAGCAAAAATCACCGCAGGCTCATCCGATGCATCCTCAAAAATCTTCTCCTGAACCATGGCTATCACCTCCCCGTCAGCCTCCGCCCCCTCCCTCACGTCTGCGGCCTCGTCGAGCCAGCGAATCACGCCGTCTTCAACAGTAACCCTGTAACTCTCTTCGTCCCGGCTCCGAACCAACAACTTAAACAGGGCGTCCTGGTCCGCCGGTACATCCACACGCTGTTCACTCAATCCCTCCATCATGACCAGGCCCAACGCAATTGCATCCATCCCGCAAAGGCTGCCGGTAAAGCACTTGACTGCTCTTGCCATTTGAACCTTACCCCAATTAAAAAAAAAATAACCACCGCGTGGGTGCTCGCGCTTACTTGCCTTGACAGCGCCCCTAAAGTGTTTTTGAAAAGAGGGCGCGTGACTGGCTGAAGGCTGTTCCGTGACGATGATCCTGGCCAGATGATGATGAGAGAAGGAACTGAAGGTTGAAGGCGAGTGGAGCTGAACCCCAAAAAAGAAAAAAACTTATTTGGCGCTGTCTTTGCTGCGTGGCCGTTGGGTCGCCAGGGAGAGGCTTCCTTGGGCGCGTGGCTGAGTAATTACACGACTCAACCTCCCCGGTTTTTTTTGGGCTTATGCCCGCGGCACTAGGGCGAAGTGGAACCTTGCTTCATTGGTATCATCCCAGGTCTTTGTGCCAGATGCGGCTCAGGGACGTATACCCGATTGTTGACGATGGGTAGCCCGTTCTGTAGGGTATACTGAGGGTCAGAACTAGGGTCAGAGACGCTTGCTCGCCGTAGAAGGCGATAACGAAGTCGTCAGGCGAGGGGAACGTTTCGTTGAGTGTGAGCGTGTATGGCTGTACGTCGGTGTGCGAGGCGAGGACCCATCGATGTCCTCGTCCAGTTTACTGAACTGGATGTCCCTGGTGAAGATGTCTACGTGTCCCTGCCGGTGCGGTAGACTACCTTGAACTGGAATTATTGGAGGAACATCGCTCAACGTGCGATGCG